TCTTTTAGGTACGAATATCAGATAAGGAGGAAAAAAGTGAAAAAATATTAAAGATTTTGTTCCCTTAATACTTATGCGGAGAACGGGGAAACTCTACCAAAAATTTTCAAACTGTTAATTAGTTAGATTATTGAACAAAAATAACAACAAAGGTCACATGCCACTATACAGGGTGTCGCCTGAAAGACTGTCCCTGTTATTCAAATATTGATTTAATAAAAAAGTATAAATTACGAGACCATCGATATCAGTCATTGCATTCAATGGATTGCTTCCCTTGCAATATGACACATCTCTAAAAATTTTCTTTTTTTTTATGGTTTGTTTCTGAATCTAATACTAAAATTTCGTCATAATTGATACTGTGATCCGAGGATAAACAATGATTTGCCAACATGCAACTGTGTTTATTCAGTCGTATGTCACTTTTATGTGCTGTAACTCTATCTTTTAGTTTTTGTTTTGTTTGACCTATATATTTCAAATCACAATCCATACATGGGATGCAATATACTACACTGGACCGCTACAATAGCAGATCTTTATCTTTTAATTTAGTGAACAGATTATTTACCGTTAAGTTGGCTTTTAAAAATCATTCAATCAATTCATGATAGTTGGCGCCGCAACTGACGAAATGTTTTTCCATTTCTCTTATTAAGAACCTATGTAATATACGATTCTGCAATGTGTTTGCAATAAAAAAATACCAAGTGCTATGCAAATACTCAGAATTCGTCGCCAAAAAAGTTTATTCATTTTGCAGATATCGAATAACTGGGAAACTGTTACCTGTACAAATGTAAATGGGTGGTGAATAAACTACATTTATAGAGCTTTTGTTTGTGACAAAAATACTGACAGAAAACGGACTATGCCTTCATATAAAAGACAGTCTGTAGACATATGCTTATATGTTTCCTACTCCAATTTACCATCAATAATTTTTTTACACACATTTTTATGCAAAAAACGCAGTTTTTTAGTTTTTTGCTTATAAAACCTAAACTAACGAAGCAATTTGAATGTTATCACGAGACAGTTTGTAGAGAATCGAAATACGAATAAAAGGAGAGGTTGATCGATCCTATTGCAAAATAATGCACCAAAAAATTTAAATTGCAATCTTGCTAAAACTAATGCCTGCTTTGTGCATATTTAAAGTACATACAGGGTGTTCCACTTAAGAGGGATTCTTCTGTAACTCTGTAATAAAAAAATGATTTTTATAAAAGTTGCCTGGAATCATGTGAAGAAAACAGTTTTAGCTTACAGGGTGTTCCTTTTCGCGTGGGTGCTACATAACTTTGTTATTTTAAATGGAATAACCTGTATATTACTATTAGGTAGAGTTTATTAAGTATACATGGTTACCGTTTTCGAGATATTCAGTAATTAAAAAAAAACGATTTCAGTTCTCTAATTTTTTTTCTCATGATGATCTCCTTAAAAGATTTTCTCTAACTTCATTGAAGGATCGAAGAGATAAATTTTCACTTTCTTTTCTTCATAAGCTATGTCAGGGTGTTATAGACAGCTGTGATTTGATTAGTTATTTATATTTTCATGTTCCTCGTGCAACATCCAGGCATGATCAGTGTTTTTATTTATCAACTCCTCTTACAAATATTCTCAAATACTCTCCCATATGTGCAGTTACTATAATATTCATCAAGAGTCTTTGGACCTATTTGCAAACGTGTCAACTAATAATAAATCATTGAGTGATCATGCATTATATTCATGGTGATTTAGGTTAAGTACGTTGGTATACATCTTTTTTTTTGTATTATGTTATTTAGTTATTAAATGTATTCTATTTTTCTGTTTTTACCCATCCTGTAAATGGAATTTTCTGTTGGGTGGTGTATAAAATAAAATAAAAATAAATAAAATAAAATAAACGACACTTATAATATTCTTTCTAANTTAAAAAAAAGGTTAAAAAACAGCAGCGATTTCTTTCTTGACGTTTCGTTCCTGATCAGGAACTTTTTCCAAAGGCTTTTATTATTAAAATTGTTATAATTAATAAAATTAAAACCTAAACAACAACCATTTTACGTCAAAATTTTAAAAATATGCATCAATCGTCATACAGTGGACATATTTTCATAATATATAATGTAATCGCTTTTTCAACATAATGAACTGAAACTTTATATTCATGCTAATCTTTTAGAGAGAAATAACTTTTCATTATAACATTTTCGCCTAGGGTCGAAAATAAAGGTACGTTATTCTCGGTTTGCAGTTTTCGTCTGCCCCTTGTATATAACAAATGTTTTATGAGGTTCGATGGGCGCTATTTTCATATGACGACGAACCTTTTTAAATAACGAAGTTGACAACTACTTCCGGTGTAACCGGAAGTGCTACGTTGATGGCATTATTTTCGTTAAAGAAAACATATCTGATAACCCCTGTATACAAAATTTCAGAGTCATATTGTCTTTGGTTCCTCTGAAACGTTTAATAGGCCACTTACAGTGAAGAACCCTATATAAACTTTTTTGCTTATTTGCTTTATTGGAATTAATATAGAAAAATGTAATTTGATTATTGTTTACACAGGGTGTCCGGAAAGATCATGTCAAAAATGAAAGGATATACAGGGGAGGTCAAAATAGTTGTAGTTCTTCATAAAAAAAAATTCTGATCGGGCTTCGTTATGGAGTTATTCGCCTTCAAAGAAAGAAGTTTGAAAAACAAATTCCAATTATTATAACTTCAAGTAGTTACCAGGACAACAATCAAATTTGGGCAATCAAAGTAACTCATAGCAATGTTCATTTCCAATTTTAAACGGATATTCAATATGGCTGGATTAAACAGAAGCAGGCAAAATTATCCATTTACATTTAAACATTTTTGACGGCGTTGCCAAATTAGGCATTTTTCTTTCATAGTTTTATTCCTCCCTCACTTTGCTTAAAAAAAGGTATACCATATATCAGTCGATATCTTGTACCGTTTATGAGAAAATTGAATTTTATTAACAGTATTAATCATAAATGCCATATTAACATTTTCGTGAAATCTTCAAGTTCAATCAATCAAGTATGTATAATTAGCAATTAGATATTTGTCATAAATCATTTTGACATCATTTGCTGATTCAATGTCATGGAGAATTTTAGTTATGAAGAATTTGCAGATATTCATCTAATGTATGAACTTGTAGAATGTAACGCTTCTGAAGCTGTTCGGATTTACGCCAACCGCTTCCCAAATAAAATTTGCATATTTGAAGTGACAAAAACCCCCATGTGCTATTATTATTACAAAACACCAACAAAAATTTATCATTATGGGAATAATTGGAAACTATTTTGTGGGACCGCATATCATTGATGATACTTTAAATGGGGATAAATACCTATATTTACTGCAAGAACACCTTAACCCGTTATTGGAACATGTTCCTTTAAATATTTGAAATAACATGTGGCTTATGCACGATGGTGCACCAGGGCGGTAACGGCTTATTTAAATACCACATTTCCCGATCGATGGATCGGTCAAGGTAGTCGTTTTCCGTGGCTCTCTCGATTTTCCGATCTTAATCCACTCGATTTTTTTCTTTAGAGCCATCTTAAAAATCTTGTTTATCAAACTCCTATAGATAATAGGGAAGAATTATTTATTAAATCGCATAATTACATATGCCGACATCATTCAAAATGACCACTACATGTTATTTCGAAAGTGATTGAGCATTTTTAACAATAATAATAATAATAGTTTATTGGTGTTACTGTACTTATACAAGTCAGAATAAAAGCACTAAAAATACTTAAAACTAATTTAAATGTATAACATTGTATGACAAGCACAGACATCTGCGCATCACAAAATATAACAGATGTCACACAAAAACAAACTCTAGATCACATATAATCATGCTCAGCTAATAAAGTGTAAATCGTTACATGACAAGAATTCCCTATAGTGGTAAAATGCCTGCCCCAGGAGAAACCTCTTCACCGTATTCTTAAAGGATTTTTAGAAAATTCATTGAAGTTCAAGGTGCACATATTGAATATCTTACTTAACAGTTCTCTTTTCTTTTAAACCAAGATTTGTACAAAGATGTTAGTATCATATTTTTGATACAATAAATGTGTTAATAAAATTCGATTTTCTCAAAAACTGTACAAGATATCGATATACGGTATACCTTTCTTTTAGCAAAGTGAGGGAGGAATCGTATGAAAGAAAAATGCCAAATTTGACAATGCTATCAAAGGTGTATAAACTTAAATGGATAATTTAATCTGTTCCTGTATAAACCAGGCATATTGAATATGAATTTAAACTTAGAAATGAACGTTACCATGAGTTACTTTAATTGACCAAATTTCATTGTTGTGATGGTAACGACTTAGAAGTTATAATTGGAATTTGTTTTTCAAATTACTTTCTTTGAAAGCAAATAGCTCCACAACGACGCCTGATAGGAAAAAATTTTTTATGAAGTAGGCACTACAATTATTTTGACCTCTCCTATATACTCCTTCATTTTTAACATGACCTTTCCGGACACCCTGTAATACGGATAATTAAATTTGGAACGAAATATGATTCATACTTTTTTTCTTAGAAACATGAAATAATTTTTTTCTTAGAAAAAAACCACAAAAGAGAGAGAAGAGAGAAAAGCACAAAAGTACAAAATGTATTGAAAAAACACCTCCATATTCGTACAGTGAGTCATCAGTAAAATTTTAGAATTTTTCACAACTTCATAACATACTATAAATGCATCTTTTTGTCTGTCTCACTCTCTCCGATATCTTCCCTCCTCTTTCTCTTTTTTCTCTAATTCATTGATGATGACCCTCTAATCATTAATAATATCTACATGAATTTCTTCAGCATGTCAGATGGTAGTTTTCGTTGTAAAATAATAAAAATAAAATGTCTAATGAACACAAAATTAGATGTGAAAAATTATATGTACGTTCCTTTGATAATTTTAGTATCTACAATCTACATACTTACTTATTCTCATTGGTAACTTGAACAGCTTTTCCTCCTGGCACTAATTCGTATGTTACCAATTTCCCCATATTATCTTCATCAACACTAAAAGTTAAATCAAGATCAGATACATCACCTTCATAATGTTTAACATAACTCAAACTTCGATAAAGAGCCGGATCCAATGACGGTAGTTCATCTACACAACTGTACAGAACCTGAGCCGTTTGTCCAGAAATTTGACTAAGAAAAAATGATGCAAATGGTACATCAACCACTATTCCTTCATATACTGCTTTGCCTGTAAAAGTAACAGATGAAAATATTTTAAAGCGAAGTGCAAAAGTTTTACCTAACATTCGACCAACAAATTCAAAGAGTTGTAAATGATTATCATGCATCATTGATGTCGGAGATGGATATAATCGTTCTTCACTAGTAGCTTTAAAGAGATTTAATGAGGGATCAAATACTCTCTTTATACTTTCCTCTAGAAATTCTTTAAAAACCCCATCTTGATCTATCCCCGCTTCATCTAAGCCTTGTTCATTGATAAATCTTACTCTTATAACTCCTTTCAATGCTTGGGTTGGCAAAAGAGCTAATTGCCTATAACCATCTTCAACAATTCGGTTTCTGTGAATATATAATTATAATAAAATGAAATAGCATTATGATTATGATAGAAGTCAGAAATAAACCTTCAATTTTGACTAAAACTAGGCAACTACATTAAATTAATAATGAGTAATTGAAACGACGTTTTTTAATGAAATGACTAATACTGACAGAGAAAATTTATTTGACTTATTATTTTCAACTTTTCATGAAAAAAGTGGATCAAACGAGTCATTAAAAATTGAACAAATATTTATTGTTTGAGCTTTTTTTTCAAAATACGTATAATTAATAATTATAATATTGGGAACATGTTTTTTTTTTTTTTAATAAAACCAACATACCTACCTATGAACGGTAATTAAAGTAGATTGTGGAGAGGCACATGCCGATTCTGTCAAACCAAGAACAGTCTTTTCATTGTGTATGTTTTTTTTAAACAATTTTACTCTATCCTCATGTGGGATGATATGTGGCATGGTTTGTAGGAGTATTTGAGGGGCTCTTTGCCCTTTCTCTAAATCTGCAATAAATGCTGATACTTTCAAATCTTTGATTATCCAATGACCTTCAGGAGTATATGACCGCCTACAATCTCTTCTATACAAAAGCATTAAAATTGTGTGCAAAGACTGAAAAAGGGTATTGTTTTGTATCGTTTTGAAATCTAAAAAGATACGATATAAAATATTTTTGATATTTTGTTCAGTATAAACTTACCAAATAAGTTTCCTAGTATAGCTTTATAAAGAAACATATTTATAAAATTAGACATAGCTACAAAATCATGCAGTTGGAATGGGTTCTGCTCTTCATACATCTCCATGTCATCGAGTATGCTGAAATGATAGAAAATAATATATTTGCACCCAATAATTTTGAATTTTCAGAACATTTCTAACTAGATTTCAGATAATATTTCTTTGCTGCAACGTTACAATTTGCAATAGAATACTGTAGGTTCTATTTCGATTGACCAACACTAAATAAAAATTCAAAATAATTTTTGCTAAAAATCACATGAAATGAAGTTAAATAATAAAAATTTAAAAAAATTTTTAAAAAAAATTTCTAGTTGTAATTGTATTAATTTAAACCAGTTGTAGTATATTATCTTTTGGGGTAGTGGTATGATCGTTGTCAATTAAAAGGATTTCGAGTTAAAACTGATTTTATTTTCTATAACTACAAAAAATGTGAACTTTTGCTGAGTAGGAAAAATGTATTGTCATTCGGACGACCGGGTCTAGGATCTTTGACCCGTCGTGTACTGCATTTATCGCAAAGTTGCAGATAGCAGTTAATGACAGTACACTAGGGTGTCCCTTATTTTGCAAAAAAAAATTATTTGCTAATTTTTTTGGGCTCATCCCCTAAAAATTTTCTATTGGGTCAGATTTACTCAAAAATAAAATTTCATCTCAATAGGTCGATATTAACCCGTGCCGACTTGAGCGCGAAATTTGAATGTTAGGAATTATAGGAATTATAGGTTTTGTAGTTTCAAGTAAGTGGAAAAGCTATTGATACATGTTTAATATCTAATTTTATATTACAGTTTAATACATTTTCATTCTTTAGACTGTATTACGGTTTTTACTATTCTTGTGGATACTTTCTTTTCAGTGTTTCTTTCCTGCAATCTGGATACAATGTATGATGTTCTTGAACACAACACAAGACAAATTGCTTCTGTTCCTCATCTACACTCAGCAGTCCATGAAAATCTTGCATTAATTTAACACCCCTTTCAGCACAGTCATTCACAGCTTTTAACTTCATAACTATCCTTTGAGCATCTAAATATGCAGTGTTGCTTGTCCATGTCGAAGGGCATTCTTGAATGAAACTATTGTCCATTTTCAGGCAAGAGAATAGACCTCTGCTTTTGGTTGACACAAAGTCGTCTAGTGTTATCACTGAAATGAAGTTAAGATTGAATTAGGAGATGTATATTAAGGAATTCAAAATTAAAGAATGGTAATTAGGATAAAATTAAACTTACCATATAATTGTCCATCCAATTCTCCATAAAGAGGAATATATCTCTTTTCCATGTGTAAATTCTCTCTTGCTAAATTTGCTACCATTTTGATTTTGATTTGTACGTCTACTTCATCATCAAAGAGTGATAGGATAGACAATTCTTCTGATAAATACCACATATGGTGACTAAATTTCTCTAGAGCTGCTTTTGAAATTGTAGAATCTATCCTTTCATATGATTTTAGATCTTTTAAAAAGCAGAGATCTTGATAAGGAGCTCTTACAGCTACACTGCACTGAAGCCACGGTTTGATATAAACAGTTACAATGAACAAAGAGACATCTCTTAAGGCATTTTTATTTACACTGGATAGTCTAAGTTGTGATCTTAGCAGAAACATTTTTAAACTATAAATAGCTCTTGCCATCCATCGAGCTTGATGCATAGCCCCAGGAGGGCATATTTTTAGTTTTCTTGTAGAATGTCCTTCCAAAAACATTAAAGAGAGTTCTATAAGTTCACGATAATCACCTCTCAGTGTTGGTTTATCTAATTCACTTTCATAAAAGTCTAACATTTCTTTAATTTCCGGTTCATTAAAAAACATTTCCACATTCTCTTTGCCACTTTGAAAATTATTGGGATTAACACTTTTCCAGCTTTCCCTAAAATGTTTAAAAAGTGGTATGTCAGGACTGCTTGTTACATCACGTACTTTACATTCAAATACACATCGTAAAATAAGTTCATATATGTGGTGACGGCACGGAAAAAACAATAATTCCCTGTCCAATTTTTGCTCAAGTAAGACACATGCTCCATTAAAACGTCCAGTGTTTGAAGCAGTTGTGTCACAGCAGAGAATTTGTACACTGTCTGCTATACCCCAATACATTAATGCATTCCAAACAGCGTTGGCTTGCTCTTTACCAGAAGAATTCTGTAATTTTGGAATACCGATGAGCTGCTCCCTGTCCCCACATGTAACAACAATTGGAAGTCTTTCTTCTTTTGGATCCCTGACATTTAATGCAGGCAACAGTTTACCATCCCAATGGACAGTAAGAATTGCAGGTATATCATTCTCGAAAGCAGATTTAATTGTCTCATAACGTTCTCTTCTCTTCTTTTGTCTGATTCGATGAATAGAAGATTTATTAATAGAAAGTTGTTCTGTATTGTGGCCAAGTGCCTCTGCTGTCGCCTGAAGGATGTAAACAGAATCTCTTACACTCAGCTGGCATCTATCCAAAGCAGCCACTAATTTAGGTGTAATAAAATCTTTCGTACCACGGCTAGCAGCATTTGATGTAATTGTACTCTCCGAAGTCTCTCCGAAAAATTCTTCTTCTGAACTTGGAAGTGTGTTATTTGAATCTTCAGATGATGAAGAAGGAGGTACAGCAGTAGATGTAGACGCTGCACACTGTTGTTTCTCTTTCCTTTTCTCTTCTTCTAATTGTCTTTGCCTTGTCCTTTTTTCTTGATCTGCGAGTTTTTGGTCTATTCCTGCAAGGTAGCCTTTACGTCCTGGCTCTCTCTGCCTAAGTAAAAACATCCTGTCTTCTTCCAACTTCATCATTTTTAGAGCATTCGCATGTGCAATATCAAATAGATTGTCCAAATTATTTCTAAACTCCTGTTCACGATGCTTAAAAATATCTTCACACTTGTTTGCGTTTTTTTGCAATTTTCTCCACTCCGAATACAAGTTAATAAGTTTTTGTGAACAATGCTGATTAGCTCTTGTTGGAATTCTTGCTTTTTCCCAAAATATCAAGCACTCGCGAACCACAAGATTAGCACTTACATTGAGAGTTAATTTTACCTCCCGCATATTATAAAATAAAACTTCAAGCACTTGTCTATTTGATGGTAATTTGTGTCCAGTTATTTGGTGTTTTATATCTCCTATTAAAAACACACGCTCCCTGGCACTGCGTAATTGATGTGACATTATGTTAGTTTTACGATCCGAAAACACATGTGACACGATGGATAACAAATAAAGAACTGACTGTAATGCACATACTGATAGGCTCAGGCCTTACTCAGCGCTGGGTGACAAGTGCAGACTTCATGCGACTTCGCGCTCAAGTCGGCACGGGTTAGAATACTTCGATCTCAACAAAATTTTATATAGGCATGTTTTAGAGTCATTCGAACAAAATTGGAGGGTGAGCATTTAAAATTTTCGAGGTCGGAAAATAAGGGACACCCTACAGTACACCTTCCCCTCCTACAAAGTAATAATTTTAGAAAGTAGCATGGTTAAATGCGTATTCTAAAATGCTTATACTATAATTTATTATATGATACCATCAAATTATTTTTACATAATAATTTTGTGTACACCTAATTAATTTATTATTATTAATATTTACATGCTCATTTTCTATCAAAATTGTGGAATTAAAACCATTTTGACTGATAATTTTAAATGGACCTATACCTATACGAGGTATCTAATTTTTGCTTATGACGTCTCTTTAACGTGACTAGGTCATTAAGAGAAAAATTAGATGGATTTGTATGTTTATTGTAATTAAGTTTTCGTTTTTCCTTCGCTTTATTAAGAAATTCTACTGCCCTTTTGTAAGCTCCATTAAATCTAAATTTAATTTCATTTGAGTAATCATCTATATTGTATTCATATATTGGTGATACTTTAGTGAAAATTTCATTTGGTAAATTTGCTATTTTACCAGGCCAATTAGTATGGTGAATAGTTTGTATCTGAGTGTGGAGTTATATTATACGCAAAAAATAGTATGGTATCTCAATTAGAATTTGTTGAATTTGCAACAAGATATTCATTTAATACTCTATGATTTCTCTTTAAACTATCTAATGATTCATGGTGATAAGCTGATGTTAAATGTTTTATTTGCAAAAGTTTATTAATTGATTTTTGGATTTACATAATTAGTTCATTTATATAATCTGTTTTTAAAATTTAAAAAATAGGTTCCAAATTTCATCACAAATTCTTCAACTAAGGCTTTAGTATAGTTTTAGCGTCTTTACTTTCGAATGAAATGGCTTGTATAAATTTTGTCAAGTTGCATTGAATAGTTAAATATCTCATATTATTTTCAGTTATTTCCAATGGTCCTACGGTATACATTGAAAGTGATTAAAAACTTATTGCAGGAATTTCTGTAATTACAAGAGGTTCAACAATATGCTTATCTTACTTTTATTACATTCTTTGCAATTTTGTACGCGCCTTTTTACCACTTTTGACATATTTTCCAAGCATATTTTTGCTTTAATTTATTTAGAGCTCCTATTAGTGAATTATGATATTTTTCTATGAGTTTATTTTGAAGGTCGATATCATTTTATTCACGCCACGTTTCTGCCTACCAGGTCCGACACCTGAGAGTATTCGATGTCGTGTTTCTTGCATGCGTTATCAAGGCCTTTTATGCCTTGGTCACCGCGAGCGAGCCTCTTGGCCAACTTGGTGCCGGAACCACAGAAGCGGTACCCGGGAATATGCACTTCGAAACGTAACTTGTTGATTAAAGAATTGAAAAGTGCCATGTTACCTGTACCACGCACGCGAACAAACTAAGGTGCGCCAGGTGAGAGCTACCTATTTATAGTCGATGCACACCTGTCCTTCGGCCAGTATTGATTATGCGTTTCAAGAAGTTGCAGCAGGTGACAGCCTTGAAATCGAAAACATCGATTTCGTGGACGACGATAAACAATTCAAGAAACATGGGCCCCTGCTACCACATAGTCTTAGATCTATTATCTGTGCACCCTCGAACTGTGGCAAAACAAATGGATTGTACTTTAAAAATGTTTACGTCTACTGTATCAGCCTAAATATAAGTATCT